CAGCTTGAACTCAGGCACTCCAATATAGGATGTGGGCATCCCAAGCAGTGTCTTAACTGCATGCTGAATGCCTGTCCCATGCTTCTTCTTTAAATGGAAGAGGGGAGGTGATAGGCCCAGGGAAAATGACTCTAACACCTTCACTTTTTATTATCGTGAGGAAACTGGTATGGCTGGTGAATGGAGTGATGGAAAGGGAACCAGGATGGCTTGGGTAAAATCTAGTATTACTAGTGTTGAGAGTGCTACTTCTAAAATAATTAGGGTAGTGATGCCAAGCACTGTCCTAAGTGCTTTTATATTTATTATCTTATGCAATGAACTTGAGACATGTACACCTTGCATATCTTTTTTTTTTTTTTGACAGGCAGAGTTAGAGATAGAGATAGAGAGATAGACAGACAGACAGAGAGAAAGGTCTTCTTTCCATTGGTTCACCCTCCAAATGGCCACTTTGGCCAGCACGCTGTGCCGATCCGAAGCCAGGAGCCAGGTGCTTCCTCTTGGTCTCCCATGCAGGTGCAGGGCCCAAGAACTTGGGCCATCCTCCACTGCCCTCCTGGGCCACAGCAGAGAGCTGGACTGGAAGAGGAGCAACCAGGACAGAACCGGTGCCCCAACCGGGACTAGCACCCGGGGTGCCGGGGCTGCAGGCGGAGGATTAGCCTAGTGAGCCGTGGCACCGGCCATCTTGCATATCTTTTTGAGTAAGTCCTTCATGAGCATCCTTGAAGGATTTCTTCAAGGGAATTCATGCTTTTCCATATGTTGTTACCCTGACATTGAAACTTCTATTCAACATGACCATCCATGGCTTCAGTCATTTCTGAAAGGAATTCTGGAAAGGGCCACCTCTAAGATTCCCCTCCTCCTCTTGGAGTTACAGAGTGAAAGGGAGAGACAGAGAGAGATCTTCCATCCTCTAGTTCACTTCCTAAATGGTCACAATGGCCAAGGCTGGGCCAGGCCAAAGCCAGGAACCAGGAGCTGCTTCTGGGTCTCCCACATGGGTGCAGGAGCCCAAGGACTTGGGCCATCCTCTGCTGCTTTCCCAGGCACATTAGCAGAGAGCTGGATTTAAGTGGGGACAGCCTGGACTTGAACCAGCACACATATGGGATGCTGGTGCTGCACAGTGGCTTAACCCACTATGCCACAGCGCCTCCCCATTCCTTTTCTGTTTGTCAGCAATTTTCACTCACATTTGCTTTAGTGTTACTCCTGGGCTGGGACTACTCCCCACTGCCCAGGGACTAAGAACTGGATACTGGATATTTTCAGCTGATTGGTCTTTTACATTGGACAGCTTTTGTTTTGAGCAGAGAGAACACATTACTGCACCTTGAAGGTTGCTGTCTACTTCTTTCTGTTCTTTTCTCAGATAAACCTGCTCAGACAGGACCACAGGACCATGGCCAGCCCACTCCTCTCATGCACTGTGCCAATAGGAGAGGTACAAAAATGACAGCTATGGGAAGCAGCACAGAAAGCCAATGGAAAAGTCTGAAGTGGCTGGTGTGGTCAAGTCCAAGGGGCTCTACTTTTACAAACGTGTAAAAGCTATCTGGTGTTAGAACTGAAAAACAGTGCACTACATTCAGTGCTGAATTTCAGATGTTACTGATACCACGTAAGGTTTGGATGACTAATAATATTAGCCCCTGAATCTTCGGGCTATGATGTTCAATGAACTGATGAGTTACAACTTTAGTCATGTCACTCTACTCTCTGATGTACTTTTTCATTTATTATCTTATTTAACACACCTGAGACACTCACACCTCAATTATCTATATGAATCAATCCTTCTTCATAATCATGCTTGAAGGATTTATTTTCCCATTGGCTCAGTGAAGTTTATCAGCTTTCACTTAGGTCTGCCAGCCCACAATCAACAGACGAGGTACTTATCTGTCTGAGTGGGGAACATTTACTGAGTCTGATCACATGCACATTTTGTAGACAACTGATAGAAGGAAAAAACCTACATAATCTTGGGGGTTATAAGGAGCTCTTTTTGTATAATTATGAGAAATGAAAAGAGGATATATAAAAAAGCAGGGTTTGTGGGTGATATTCAAACAGAAGCTTAATCAATTGTAATAAAGTCATTAAACAATACAAAGAATCAAGTCTGTTTCAATACTCAAAGAGAAATTAAATGAAAGGTTTCACTCACAACAGTAATATCAGATGATCATCACAGTTATGTTTTCTGTACAGATACTCTCATACCAGACAGACCAAGTTCAACATTTTTTTTTTTTTTTGCTTTGAAATACAAGTTGGACTGGTTACACATCCCACATTATGTGGTTACTCTTCAGGGGATAAAGGTAAGAAGGAAGTGACATTCTGCCTTGCCCACAGATGTATACAGAGCAGTATAATATATTTGAGTTTTGCCAAAGGTTAAAAATTAGAAGTGAGCTATCCCTAGAAGATGAAATCACATCCATTAGTGGCATAATATAAAGAGAAAAATAGTAAAGATATGTTATAGGTATTCAGAAACATCAAAAAGCTGTTACAACAATAATCTTCCATGAAGGAAATAAAAATTGCTGTTATAAGTTATTTTCTACACCATTTTCTGGTTGAAAATTTCATAAACAGCTTAGGGATATGATAGATTTTTATGTTTCATGAGTACATATATATTGCTATATGTAGTGTTTTTTTTTAAGATTTATTTATTTGTTTGAAAGGTAGAGTCACAGGGAGAGAAAGAGAGATAGAAATCATCCATGCTGGTTCACTCCCCAAATGGCCACAATAGTCAGGGCTGGGCCAAGCTGGATCCAGGAGCTTTATCCTGGTTTCCCAAGAGGGTGCAAGGGCCCAAATACTTGGGTCATCTTCTGTTATTTTCCCAGGCACATTAGCAGGGAGCTGGACGGGGAGTGGAGTAGCAGAGGCTCCAATTGGCACTCATATGGGATGCCAGTGTTGCAGGTGGCAGCTTAACTCACTAAGCCATGATTCTGGCCCCATCTCGTATTTTATTATAGATTTGTGCACCTGTTACTGTTCATGGCTTTGGGGGAATGAGTAATGAAACATCATTGCATGGAGAAGTAAAATGTATATATTTTAATATGATTAGCTAGAGATATCTGTAACCGTTATGTGATTTTTACAAATATTTCCTATAGCTGTTTATTTAAAAATTAAGAACTTATTTAGTCAGAGTCATCACCAGTGCTTTTTCCGAAGCCATTTTTTCACAATGGGAAACACAGCATGTTACTGACACTGATGATGGTAAACAGTACTGAAGAGAGATTCGTTCTTAGCAGGTTTCAGATTTTGCCTCTGTTTTTCATCATTTCCTGTACCTAAGGAAAATGAAAAAGAATTTTTTCACTTGCAATTTTTGTTCTACTTGGAATTAACATACTTTGTGAGGTTAAAATATAGAGAGACTTAACGTGAAGAAATTCCCAACCCTAACTGGAACAGATAATTTAGACCTTGATAATTCAAGGATATATGTTATAATCTCTGGGAAAACCACTAAAATATTAACAGCATGAGCAGGGCAATGGCTGTGTTCTGTGTGAGAATGTAATGACAGACAAATGTCATACACATTTTTCAGAACCCATGGGATGTACAACATAAAGAGAGATGTAGCACTAACGTAATCTATGGACTTTACTTAATAATAGTGTGTCCATACTGGCTCATCAATTGAAAGAAGTTTACTACACTAAGGCAAGGTGTTAATAATGGGGCAATTACATGTGAGAAGAGTAAGGTGGTAAATGGAATTCACTGAACTTTCCAGGAAAATTATCTGTAAACCTAAAACTGCTCTATAAAGTCCTTTAGTTTAAAAAAAAATCCCAATAACTAACCCCAAAAAAAAAAAAAAAAAGTACATGAGGGTACTTCAAAAGATTCATGGGAAATGAATTATAAATTAATTTTGGTGCAAAAATTTTTGGATCCTTGCATACATTTTTTACAGTATTCACTTGAGAATCCCTTATATGGTTGGATTTCAAAATGTTTTGCATCAAAATAAACTTACCTTTTAATTCTATTTTCCATGAACTTTTTAAAGTCCTGTTGTGTAAATTTTAGGCTAATAGAAGGAAAAATGGAATGATCAAAAGTTAAAAAGTAAAGCAAGAGAAATAGAATAGGTAGGATAAACAGTATATGGTAAAACAAGAGTTTTAAACCCAAATATATGTTCAATTACATCAAATGTAAACATTTAAATGTTTACCATATTTGAGAAGTAATGATAAAAAAAAATGAAGAATTTAACTACCTGCTATTAATAAGAAACACACCAAAAGCTTAAGATCAGATAAAGGTTAAAAGTAATGATGAAAGAAGATATGTCATTTAAATATTAACTAAAACAAATGTGATATAGTTATAATAATGTTGAACAGAGTAATGAGAGCTCATAATACACCTTTATGTGATAAAAAGTCCAACTTACCAGAAAGACGCAGGAGTATAAATTTGTATGTACCTAATAATGTGATGGCAACCACATATCACAGTGAAAATGAACTAAACTACATACAGGAGATAGGCAAGTTCACAATCTCAGTGGAAGGCTGGAATATGTTTTAGCAAACCTTACAGTAATGGACATATTCAGGTCACTTTGCAAGCATTTCAAATTAAATCTTTTCCAACTTCGAATAATTCATTCACAACAATTAAACATTACACTGCATCATAAAGCAAGCCAACACGTTTCAAAGATCTGAAATCACCCAGAGTATGTTCTAAGGAGCAAAGCACAATTGACTTAGAAACCAAGACAGCTATAAAGTCAAATTTCTAATAACTGATATAAGCAATATAATGACAAAACACCCATAAGTAGAAAAAGTCATAATTTCGAAACTATTTTGAAGTAGATAAAATGAAGATACACATATTTAAATTTTTGTGACAAAACTTTTAAAAAGCATGTTTTTTTTTTCCAAACTAATTTTTAATGAGCAGGTAATGTCTTTTAATTATAGAAGACTGCAGCCCAAAGATGTAAAGTGATTTTAGCCAGAAGGCTAATATTACTTCATTTATATGAGAATAAAATCAAGTAGTAGACTCAAAAGCAGCATGAGTTTTGCCATGAGTTACACACCAACTTTAAATACAGCACCTTGCAGCAAGCATCAAAATTGCTTGCTAGGTTTTTCGTTTCTTCTCTAATCTGCATGTATTTTTAAGGCCATAAAGTGTGAGCTGGAAGAAAAGCTGTAAAACAAGGATCAAATATGCGCCCTTTACACACAAAAGCATTACGTTACCACACACCAGAAACTGCATTTGGAATTTTTCCTCCAAACATAATGGTGTTCTTAGGTCATACATCTTCTCGAAATTCGCTTTTTTTGTAGCACCAAGTAGCACACAAGGCATATGGGACTGTAACACCGACACTGACTAAATGCTAAAATAAAACTGACTAAAAACTAAAATAAAACTGACTTTGAAATAAAGGTCTCCTGGCAACAGATTTATTCTATTTTAGCCTTTTTGTATTGTCATTTGTCTAGTTCTTTTTATGGAAAATTTGTTAAGGCTAGTAATGAGCACTCTGAGAATTATCTATTTGCATTTTTGTTTAAACTCTCAAGGGTTGGATATTACGTGTAAAATGACTTATTCTAGAGGTAAAAATCCGATCAGGAGGTGACTAGTCTGTTTGACAGCACTGGTGGCTTAGTTCCGCATTTATGTAGTGTCACTGAAATGAAAAACAGAACACATGGATTCAGAATGTTAAGAATGAGAACCAGGTATCTGTTCTTTTTCAGTACACCTGCTGGCCTTACCTGCCATGGATTATCAAATTGTGACTTTCTGACAGAGTAATAACTCTGTTGTATCTTGTATTTTTACAGCCTGCCAACATGCAAGTTTTATGAATGCTGTACTTTCTTCTGAGGATGATACACTGTGTTCAGCTTGTCTGCTGTCTCTAATGGATCAAACACTTTTTTGAGGCAATGGCTTTCTCCACCAAAAGGCACAGTCTGAGATTGCTGTGATTGCAAACGGAAATGAAAAGTGTTAATACTGGGAAGTTCTGGGGGGCAGGAGAAACGTCACAGTTCGGCTGCCGGGTACACTAACGCTAGAGCTGCCTCCGCCTGAGTTAGCCAAACCAGCGTCCCCGGGGCTGAAACACACTCAGGCCCACCCAAGCAGTCAGAAGCAGTCTGCTCGGCCGGCGAGGGCAGGAGCGTGATGCTGGAGAGCCATCTGATTTCTTACTGGCGGCGGCGGCGACAGCCAGGCTTTTCTCATCAAGGGTTGGAGGCTGCTAGCCTGGAACTAGAAGGCTGCTGCGCCGCAAACCCAGAAGGTATGGAGAGGGCGCAGCCAGACATGGGCTCCCAGCCAAGCTGCGTTTTCACGGATTTCTGCGGAAGCCCGCCGCAGTGCGCCCACGAAGCCCTCGTAGCGCGCCAGGATGGAGCTCTCCCTCGCTTTGTGGGGGACCACAGGCCCAGGTAGGCGGCTGACTAAACCGCCACCTACAGGATGTCACGGAAGAAGTTCCTGTAAGAGGCCGCCTGGGTCAGAAAGTCGTGGAGCCGGGCGGAGTCGTCGTTAAATGCTTTGGGAAAAGCCATGGGGCAGGTGGGCAGACACACCTGGGCCAAAAGGTTGGCCTCGAACAGCAGCAGCCACACGTGGTCCATGAGCTTGTCTTTCTTCCTATGCAGGGAATGGTTCTGGCTCAGGTCAGGCATGCTGCCTGCAGGCGCATCCATTCACACCAATGTCCGGCCGCCCTCTGCTCCTGCGTGTTGTTATTTATTTTTTTTTAAAAGGAAGTTATGCTTTCTGTATACACTTAGAAATGAATCCTACAAATAACAGCTGTATATAAGGGACAAACATCTAAACCCCATTCCCCAAATGCTAAAACGACACAGAACCACAGAAAGGGTCTGGAGACTAAGCAAACACAGGCAGATTTTGGAGGGGTGTCTAAACTTGGGGCAAGCGACCAACATGGGATGGATTTCTCATTTTTTCAACTTAGACCTTGTGACAGTCACAGGCACAGCCATAGTCTTGGCAATGAAGGGATGCCTAAAACTCTAATAGAAAACCAACCATCTTTCTGAATGGGAAAATTGGGTGTAGTAGCCTGGTCAAATAAACCCAAGTGCTGACGACAGAGGGAGATTTCTAAAGGAGAGAAGTTTCCTTAGTTCTATTTACAAACCCTGCACAAACATCACACTGACCCTTGAAACATGCATTCATAGGACAGATTCAAAGTAGTACAGCAAAGGCTTAAAGAATTGATGTGAGCCATGATCAATCAACCATAGGAGGCAAGAGAGAATTTTCAGTTTGAATGCAACTGTATTCATCATCACATTATCACCTAAAACAAAAATAACATTTGTCAGATAAGTATTGCAGAACTCAGCCATAAAATTTAATGTTCACAGTATCTAGATTGTCTAAAATTATTCTATTTACTGAAAACATAGAATATGCAAGTTGTTGTAAATGGAAAAGACTATTACCAGATGCTAATTCCAAACACTTTAAAGCAGCTACATTGACCATACTCAATAAGATCAAGGAAAATACACTGAAAATGAAAGGAAATAATAGAAAATATCAGAAGATAAATAGAAAATGCGAGAAGAAACTAAATAGAAACTATCACTGAAAAATAAATTTTACTAAATGGCTTAATAACAGAATAGATGCCAGAATAATAAGAGAACTTAAAAGTAGAGCCAAGGAATTATTTAAAGAAGAAAGAGAAAAAGCTGGAAGAAAGGAAGATTGGGGATCTGTGAGAAAATATTAAAAAAAAATAATGCAAGTTTTTTTTAGGAATTCTGCTATGTTGTATTCTAGTAGTTTACTTTTTTTACTTTTTTAAACTTATGTAAAGGGAACAAATCTCACATAAAAAGTTTTAAGAGCATAACGATACTATACACCCTACCCTCTTTTCCTCCCTCACTCCTACCATCCCACTTCCTTTTCTCACTTCTCTTTTAACTTTTACGACTTATTTTCAATTTACTTTATAGTCACAAGCTTAACCCTCCATTAAGTAAAGAATTCCACAAGTAGTAAGTAGAAAATCCACTATAAGCAATAATCAAATCTTAAAATATCAATTTTGTTCATATATATCACTTTTTTTGTACTCTGTATATTGGTTGCCACAAATCAGGGAAATATATATATATATTATATATAATGTTTGCCTTTTTGGGACTGGCTTATTTCACTAAGCATAATGGTCTCCAGTTGCATTCATTTTGTTGCAAAAGACAGAATTTCATTCTTTTTTATGTCTGAGTAGGATTCTGAGTAGGTATATATACCACAATTTCTTTATCCAGTCATCAGTTGATGGGCATCTGGGTTGATTACATATTTTAGCTATTGTGAGTTAAACTGCTATAAACAGGAGTACAGATAATGTCTTCATATGCTGATTTCATTTCCTATGGACAATTTCTCAGGATTGGAATGGCTGAGTCATGATAGATCTATTTTCAGCTTTCTGAGGAATCTCCATACCATTTTCCATAATGGTTGTACTAGTTCACATTCCCACCAACAGTGGATTAGGGTACCTTTCCCCCCACATCCTCACCAGCATTCGTTATTTTTTGATTTTTGGATGATATCCATTCTTACTGGAGTAAGGTGAAAATTCATTGTGTTTTTTATTTGAATTTTCCTGATGCCATGATCCTGAGCATCTTTTCATGTGTTTGCTGGCCATTTGTAATAATGTGAGTTTTAAAACAAGAAGGGATTAATGTATGAGAAAGGAACAGGAAAATATTTGAAGAAAGTACTTGGTGAGAGACATAGACAAGAAGCTCAATTAACCTGTTAAAAGGTAAATTCCAGTGAATACCATGATCGTTAATTAATGATAAAAAGATTTATGATCCAGTCAGAGGAAATAACATGTTTTATTCAGGTCAACAACAATTTGGATGATTATGGATGTCTCTGAAAAAAAAGAAAAAAAAAAAAAAAAGAACTCAGTTCTGTTTCCAGCAAGAATGAACATGAAATAGGTTTTCAGAAGAAGGAAAACCAAGAGTGTTCACTACCAGCAGTCATACAATACAACACACTGATGAATTCTACCAGATACTTAAATAATTAATACCAATTCTTCTTAAATCATTTCAAAAAACAGAAGAGGGAAGTCTTCCAAACTCATTCTATGAGACCAGTGTTTCCTGGATACCAAGCCAGACAAGGACACAAAAGAAACCTATAGGCCAGGAGCCGGCACCATGGCACAGTAGGTTAATCCTCTGCCTGCAGCACCGGCATCCCGTATGGGCACCGGTTCGAGTTCCGACTGCTCCTCTTCCAATCTAGCTCTCTGCTATGGCCTGGGAAAGCAGTAGAAGATGGCCCAAATGCTTGGGCCCCTGTACCCACGTGGGAAACCCAGAAGACGCTCCTGGCTCCTGGCTTCGGATAGGTGCAGCTCTGGCCATTGCGGCCCTCTGGGGAGTGAACCAATGGAAGGAAGACATTTCTCTCTGTCTCTCCCTCTCACTGTCTGTAACTCTTCCTCTCAAAGAAATAAGATCTTTTTAAAAAAAGAGAAACCTATAGGCCAACTCAATGTCCTTGATGGACAGATGCAAAAAATTTCAACAAATAGTAGCCAATTAAATCCTATGTAACTGTAAAAAGATTATTTATCACAATCAAGTGGGATTCATACTAGCTATGCAAGGATGGTTCAAAATATGCAAATAAATAAATGTGATATAAACCACTTCAACAAAATTAAGGACAAAAATCAAGCAATTATATTAATAGACACAGAAAAGGCATCTGATAAAATCCAACATCCCTTCATGATTAAAAACTGAATGAATTAGGTTAGAAGGAACATACCTCAACAAAATTAAGGCCAAATATAAGAAGCCAATAGTTAACATCATATTGAATGGGGAAAAGCTGAAAGGATGCTCTATAAGATAAGGAAAAAGACAAGGATGTCTACTTGTACCACTTTTATGCAATACAGTACCGGAAGTTCTAGCCAGAGTAATTAAGCAATAAAAAGACATACATGGAATTCAAACTGATAAAGAGGAAGTCAAACAACGATTGTTTTCAGATGGCATGATCCTATATGGGGAAAACACCAAAGACTCCACCAAAAAGCTGTTAAACTAACAAATTCAGCAAAGGTTCAAGATACAAGGTCAACATGCAAAACTCAGTAATGTTGTCACATACCAATAGCAAATTCCCTGGAAAAGAAATCAAGAAAGCAATTCCATTTCCAGTAGCTACAAAACAACACTAACAAAAAATACTTGTGAATAAATTTAAGCAAAGAGATGAAAGATCTATGCAATGGAAATTGTAATTATGAAAGAAATTGGAGAAGACACAAAGAAATGGAAAGATATCCCATGTTCATAGATTTGAAGAATAAATATTGTCAAAATGTTCATGCAACCCAAAGTGATTTACAGATTAATGCAATCCTTACCAAAATACCAATGACACTTTACACATAACTAGAAAAAATATTGTTAAGATTTGAATGGAGCTATAAAAGACCCTAGCTAGCTAGAGTGAAAGGGCAAATCCAACAAAGTAGGAGGCTTTACACTACTTTAATTTAACATAGATTACTGGGTGGGTGGTCAGCCAAGTGGTTAAGATGCCTTCATATCATACCACCTGGGTCCTGACTTTAGCATCTTGTTAATGCAGATTCTGGGAAATAGCAGTGATGGTTCCAATAATTGGGTGCCTTCCACCCACGTGGGTGAACTGTGCTCAATTCCCAGTTCCTGGTTTTAGCCAAGGTCTAGTGTTCCCCCTTTCAGACATATGGGGAATAAACCATCAGATGGGAGTTCTATCTATCTGAATTACAATAAGTAAATATAAATAACAAAGCTATTATAATAAAAATAGCATGATACTGCCATAAAAATGTACTTATAGGTCAATGGAAAAGAGTAGAGACCATAAAAATGAACCCACACATGTA